AAATTTTCGTAAAGCTTTCCCTCAGATTCCATATTTTAAAAAGCTATTTTTTTTTATGTAAAAATGCTTCCACACATTGAACATGCTCTTGCATGCTGTATAAATATTAAAGATATCTAAACATTGAAAACTACTCAATGCACAACAGTGAGTGAGACCCTACTCAAACTTATAAGCCAGCTATGCTTGGACAGGACAGGCATCCTGAATTTTAAGGAAATAAAATGAATGTGTATTTTGTGCTTGCAAACTTACATCTTGAATGTGTACTGTAGTGTCATACCTTCAGAACTTGTGGGTTGGTGTGTGGAGTATGAATACTCTCCCCAGAGCACACTGGTTTCCTTACTCAGTGCAGATATGAGCTGTTAGGATAACCAATGTCTGCAAATACTCTATGACTGCATGCACATATGTACCCTGCGACTGATCCCACCCAGCGAGTAACCGATGTCCGCAAATACTCCATGACTGCATGCACATATGTACCCTGCGACTGATCCCACCCAGTGAGTAACCGATGTCCGCAAATACTCTATGACTGCATGAACATATGTACCCTGTGACTGATCCCGCCCAGCGAGTAACCGATGTTCGCAAATACTCCATGACTGCATGCACATATGTACCCTGCGACTGATCCCACCCAGCGAGTAACCGATGTCACAAATACTCTATGACAGCATGTACATATGTATCCTAACATAATCAGAACTAACATAATCAGAATGGTGTCCTCACTTTGTATCAGACTTATTTGAACAGAGTATCTTTCAGGACATTACTTTTTTAAACTTGTCAGCCATGTGACCTTGTTACTAGGGGGTTCAGTATTGGCCATAAAGGAAGTAAACAGTAACTATACTTCCTAAAAAGAAAATATGTAGATAGTACTGCAGTTTATTTGGATAGGTGATTTCAATATGGAAATATAAAATATCACAGCTCATGTTGAAGTATAAAAATTATCCAAGATATTCCTTTCCCCCTAAATCACCTTGAAAACAGCAGCACACCAGCACCAGGTCATCACTGCCAAGCACACATCAGTAAATGTTCAGTCTTTTGCTTCACTGCCCTTTTGCCACAGAGACTTCTGCTCCTCCTGAATCTGGAGTACACTGGCTAAACACATCATGACTTTTCAGTTCACTCAAGAACAGCTATTAGCCCAAGACAGTGATGTGAATGGAAAGTGGCAGAGGGTCACTCTCCCACCTCACAGCTTCAGGGGCAGCTGAAAAACCACTTAAGAACACAAACCATGCAGCACAGCAAGCATCCTTTATCGTCTGCCTCATTTAACGCTTAACCTCATTTTCCTTATAGGATTTATTCTTGTTCTGACCCACATAGTACTTTTTTCCCTTCAACATGGCATGTTGGAGAGGGAAAATAGAGGGTTTAATATTAATTAAACACATCTTGAACCTATTCTGAATTAAGCAGCAAAAAAAGCATTTAAAAATCACAACGATTAAATAAATCAGTTAATGGGCAATCATATATAATTTTACTGAGGCAAATAAAATTTCACTTTAAAGAACTAGTCACTGATCAGTCTGTATTACCCCTTTTGCTGTTGTTTAATTTAAAAGGTATTTCGTTCCAGAGTGGCTAAATAAAAGTAAAAAAAAAAGCAGACACTCATCACAATACAAGTCAATTTAAATAAATGGTCAGGAAACTTAGCAATGCAAGTTTCTCCAAAAACTGCCCATGGGATTCCAATCTCTGGTAGCCAGCATGTCTCCAAAGCGTGCAAATGCACCCAGCCCATTAAAGCCACAGTGATGTTTATTTGCTTAATTACCGGAATTATTCCAGTACGGAGAAACACAGACCTTTGTCAAAAGCCAACTGCCAGGCAAGAGTTCCTGCATCGTCAGGAGGCACCAGTCCATTATTTAAAGCTGCCTTTCAGAGCTGCCCCCCCCCCCTCTTTGGGGAATACCACTGGGGGAGGGGGAGGCTGGTTTGTGTATCTCATGGTCAGCTGCTGACCTTGATGCATTACTGGCTGAATTACCAAAACAAACTTCCGCATGAGCAAAGTCCATAGAAGGAAAAAAAAAATCAAAACAAATACAGAAAATGGTTAACAGGGGAAATGTAATAGTTAAACTGTATCAAGAATAATGCACCCTTAATGTTTATGAAACAAATTCCAGACAGACACACACAGACAGACAGACAGACTCACACATGCATATATCCTGTTACACTCAATGTATGCTGACAAATCACTTGAACAATGGTCACAAAATGCGTGTCCATGTGTAAAGGTGCTTCCCAGAATGGAATTCTTCCATTCCAAATATTATTAGATAAGAAATTAATAAAAGTGAATAGAGAGAACACAGCCTGGAATACATTCCTCGTACATTATTAAAATACATATTAGTATACTTAAATCTAAGTATTGTACATGGCTTTTTAACTAGTAGTTTAACTACTAATTTGTGTGTCTGTGCATGTATATTGTATGATGCATCAGTTGACACAAAGTGAATAAATGCATACGAGTTTACATATGTACTGACAGATCGGTACATACAAGAACAGTAAAGAAAATAAAAGAGAAGTACGTAAAATATAAAAAATACAGTGAATGCATATGCTATGGGTAACATAAAACACTAGATATGTATGATGTGGGTAAGAAAAAACAATGTTCTCAAGCACCTAGTACATGTACCTAGTACAAAGTGGAGAGATTTTTTGATTTGGGTGCAAGAAAAAGGCTTTTATAAATGTCCTTGTTCAGCCATGACTGAATTTTTCATAATTGCACATTATTATATTTTAAGTATAACTGTAGTGAATGCTTTGTTGGGCTGTCAGACTAGATGCCTGGATGGTGATTGTTAGCTGGATAAATGATACATCACACTGCTGAAATTCCAAGAAAGGCAGTATGTGGCAGTGTGTTGATAAATGTTTTTCTTACTGTAGTTACACTGGATGTGCTGACCTTACGGTCATGTTTCTATTAATATCAATTAATATCAGTACTCGTCAGACTAACATCAAGCCAGATTCCACTAGGTTCCTCGGAAAGGCCAGAGCTGTTTTTTTCCGTAAAGTATTTCATTGTTTAAATATTGGTCAAAACAAATAGAACCATTATTAGTATGCAGACACATACTGTCTTGATTTCATAAGCTGCACATATTTGTCACCTCCTGGGACATCCTCGGCCATAATAATTAGTTTTCCAAAATTCTACTAAAACAACCTTGTAGGCTACAAACAAATAAAGAATGTGCAAAATTATCATAAACGTTTAAAATTAGACAAGGACTCAAAGACACTTTGCTTCATAAACAACTACATGACAAGTCACTATCCTGCTAAACAATACTATGTAACAGGAGAAAAACAGAGAGAGTGGTGATGGTGCAAATTCTTTAAGCAGCCGTGTCTTTTGGGCAAAGCAGCTGCAAAAGTAAGAACACTTTTAAACCATTTCATTACGCTTGCTGTAGCACAGGAGAAAACTACCGTGTTGACGACTACTAGTGTAGTTAGTAAGTGACGCAATCCAATCCCATGCTGCACTAGCCTTTGCATATTAAAAGGCAGGTTAGACGAGTGTGCTGTTGCTTGCAGGCAATGCGCCGCATAATGAATATTTCATTGGTGCCCAGGTGGGTGAAAAGGTAAACAAGCAGGTTCAATGGGAAAATGAGAAGAAGTTCACTGCTCCAGAAAAAGGCTTGGATTCTGCATGCAAGCCCCGAGTTACAGTAAGAGCAAAATATTTGTTGCAGGTCAAAACTGATGCATGCAGGGATATCAGTGATATACTGGTGATAAACTGGACAAAATTCTAGTATTCAGAAAAAAAACATACTAAAATTCGAGTATCAGATGCATTTCTCATGGGTGTAACAAAGTGCATGCGATATGATCACTGGAACACATTTATACTGTTGTGTTGCACTGGTCTTAATTTGATAAATGGATAGAGCATTAGTTTCAAAAGGGACCGACATCCTAAGACAGATCAAGTCACTTTTACAAGAAAAAGCAACCAAGGCATTTCAGGTCTTCCTCCAATGTAAAGTGGACATTAGTGTTTGGTATCTCCCAAGCAATTAGAGAATAGGAGCCAACCCACTCCTCCCACCTTCATCGGGATCTGCTTCCGCGATGACCAAGTACAACGGCAATAGCTAAACGAGCTAATGAAGTCCCAGTAAGTCACACACGAGTGGGAGTGATATCAGGGATGGGCACACAATGTAGAGCACAACTCCTCCATAGTGTATCTGTGACATCCATAATAGAGGCATAATAATGAAGGCATAGTAAATTTCAGATCACTATTTTTCAAAGCCACTATCTTTGCACTTCGCTTCCCATTTCTTTCGCTTTCTCAGTAGATTGGCGTGTATGTGCTCCCCCCACATAATTTAGTATACAATTTCTTTTCGTCTGAACAACTAGCGGCACAAGAGGTATATTTATTGCAGTGTAGCTTTACTCGGATGAAAGGCTACATAAAGCAGAAAGATCCAGTCCAATATGCACGGATGTTGTGGTTATTAATGCTTATAGTAAACATTCCTTAATATATCAGATTCTCCCCTATTTCTCGTTTCAGATTTCCCCAGGTCATCTTGCCCCATTAAGAAGAAAAATGTCAATGACTGATGCAATTAAATAAACAGCAATTCTGGGACAAATGAGCCTTGACCTTGAGACCTAAAAAAATTCAGTTTGATTTCAAACACTTTGGCAAATTCCACACACACCTCTTACCTTGGAAGATTAAGCAGAAGATACTAAGCAAAAAAGGCACAGAGTTAGACACCGACGTTGACTTAACGCCATACCAGTATCCAGGGCTAAATTCATGGCAAGCAAATGGTCAGTAAAACAGATTGAACAAATAAAAAGGTTGAAATGTCATAAACAATTAGAAATTGTTACAGCCAAAACAACCTAAACAGATTGTAAGATTAGACAGATGTTTAAGAATAGTTTCTGATACTTAAAAAAAAGAAAAAAAAACTAAAAAAGCCTCTGGCTTGACTTCACTAAAACCCTGTTAAAGAGCCAGGAAAATGATAAATATGCCAAATACAAAAAAGTGGCTAATAGTCAAAGGAGCGTTACCTGTAGTACATGCAGGCAGATCCTCACCCATAAGAACATGTGGTTCAGCCCGGTGTGATGCACAGAAAGCCGGTTATATGCTTTCCTTGGTCTATCTTTATATCTGTTAGTGAGACTCAATTTTCCACCTTGGGGAGAGGGAGGGGTAATAACTGGTACAAATTGTTGTGGTATAAAAAGTTGGGATTTTAGCTTCAATCCAGTTTTGTTTTCCACCAGTTGCAGGTGGAGTAGATCTTGTACAGGTTATACAGTCATACAGACTTTTTAAGATGTATTCCTACTGACAGGATTACTGAAAAGGATTAAAGGAGAAACCGTATCAGTTCAGCTACAGTGAAAGAACTAGCTGACAAGCTGAACAAGAGCTTTATTTTTCTTGTTCTTGTGTAGTTTTTGATGATCGCAAGGTTTAAAGAGTTACTCCTCCTGCTTTCTTTCTGACACTCAGTAACAGAATATCTGCAGAGCTCGCCCCGTCGCAGACCGCAGCCAGGCCCATCCAAATAGCTACACAGCTGACGATACAAAAACATTACGAAGCGCGTAAATGAAGGCAAAAGCAGGAAAACTGAGACCCGGGTTTGATACTTGATATTACTGCTGATGACAAACCAGGCTGTCACTCTCCTGCAGCTCTGCATACTATACTGCATTTGTTTGTATATATATAAATAAATAAATATTGACAAAATATATAAAATTTATAGTTGTACTACCATGATGGGAGAAGGGGGAACTTTCACTTAAACCCATAACGATAATTCACTGTTCACAGACTAGCAGTTATAAAGCTGGAACACCCAGAGGAACCGTGTACTGGGGTGGAGGTGTAAGGCAACAGTGCTACTCACACAGCTGCTATTCCATACACAAGGGGCCACCTATAAAATCGCGAAACAATCGGGTGTAGATTCCAATTCATTTAAATACAAAATTCAGCAGCTAGAATTACTAAATGAATGGTTCTTCATTTACAAATCTCTAACCTCAGCCAGCTTTAGCCACTCCCTTCAACGAATAAAGAAAATACAGTAATTAGAAAATGTAATATAATTAATGCAGGCACATATTCCCTCAGAATATTTTTTTTACTTTTTCATGTTAAACAAAGGATATGTGGTCATACTTAATGGCTGACTTCACATGCCATTGCAGTTATGAGTAAGGGTGCGACCTGGGTGTGTTTGGGTGGCAAGATTCTTTCAGAAAAGACACCACCTATGAGTAATCACCCATTCACCACAGACGTGTACTAATACACACATTTACTGCTCTGACAGTTCACACCTTCAAACGAGAAAGTCACGACTCACTGCACGGCAATAGCATTCACTGGAAACATCCATTCTTATTACATCCAGCAGAGCAGCCTCAAACATGAAACCATGCCAATCTGAGAGCCACTGCATCACAATCATGGCAACTCAGAAGTCCGTGAGAGAACTGACATGCTGCTGTTTATTCAAAGTTACAGAGCAGTGCTGAAATCTGGTGTGAGCTAAAGCAGTAAATGCCATCACAATCATATAATGCGACAGAAAAGCTGTACCAGCAGAGCTATTTGCAAATGATTATCCATCTAATGGCGATCTCTTATTCGAATCTCCCGGTCTTGTATTTGCTGCTGGGCAGGACTGCAACATTTTCCATAAAATCTTGGTTTAGATGGGAAAGAGGTCATAATGGACGCTGTGCAACATAAGGTTTCCAGGAATCACTATTTATTTTATGAGAAAAATGTTTTGGGTTGTCATGTATAGCAATCACCTGTTTGGAGGGACATCTTATTCATGGTTCAAATTATGCATCTTTATAATGATTAAGAATTAAACATGGGAATCCATAACATTTCCATTAGTGCAGCATATCCCTTTTTATATGTTTGTTGTTCAGGTATGGAAAGAAAAATCATTTTCTTTGATGGCCCATTGTAAATATATTTATAGACCATTAGATTTAATCGAATGGATTTTGATGTTCTGCAGTGGAAAAATATTAAGGATTTCAACAGAGCAGGAATTACAAAGGGTATGACCCAGGGAGCAGTAAATAACAGCACATACAATATCCCAGCCAGGTGGCACAGCCACCCAGAAAGATACGGGATAAAGACATTGTGACTTCTGATGAGAAAATAAGGGCATTTAGAGCCACTCCAGCCTAACTGCTACCTAACGAGATGTGGGAAATATACTGTACAAACACCAAGCAGATTGTGGACTGGATTAAGATGATTTAGACACTATGTTTCCCCTGCTGGGCTTCATTAAGGTTCAATAAATCACAAGGGACACTGAAGGATTAAAAAATTATTTTAAAATGTGTAAGGATGCTGCATACATGCACAAGAGTGAAGCTGTGTTTGTTTACATCAGGCTGCATTGGTGCATGAATGGATAGCAAAGTTGTACATGGTCTAATAAAGCACATATAATGAAGCATATACTTAGTCAATTGAAAGCAATCAGTCTAGCAACATGAATGTGAACATATGAACTCTAGTTTGTTTTATAATTTTGACTATAACTTTATTTAATGTGATATGTTAAAGGTGTTTTTAACACAAAAATGATATCAGGAATCTACTAAATGGGGTAACATACTACATGCAAATTCGTGAGTTAGATTTCTGTGTGCATGTATTTGGACTGTGGGTGGAAAACAAAACAGCCTAAGGAGACCTGTACAATATGGGGAGAACATGTGAACTCCTGACACACAGAGGGGTGGGGCGGTTTGAGCCCCCCCACCTTAGAGGAACAGGGCAATGCTGCTACACACTGCACTAATCTGACAAAGTATTAAAGCTGCATATTTGAATACTTTCTATAATTTAATCCATTGTTAAACAGCTGAAATGTAATGTCTTGAATGTGGTATTAGTTCTAGCTGGCTCAATACTGTACTGTAGCACTGGATAGAGGAAAAATGATACTAAGAAATAACAAATGAAAACCCAAAGCACAAGTCATAAATTATTCAATGAGTCTTGCACTAGTATATGCTCAGCCAAAAAGATATAATTATTTTTAAGCCAATGAAATCAGTTTTGTTTTCAAAAGGTCATAGCTGATTCATACCTGCACCTAGCTTGCCGGCAATAACCTCCTTTGTCTTATAACGTTACAAAAACAATGTTAGAGGAACAATATCCATGGAGAAATAAATCTACTCTTGTAGTATACAGTATGGATTAGCAATCAAATATGTTTGATTAACTTAAACATGATTTAACTTAAACCTACGTATCCTTAATGTAGCAAGCAATTTTTAAATAATTTCTGCACCAGTACAGTTAGTGCTTTGCTATATGTAAATCTTTAATGGTTATGAGTCAATGAAAGAATCAGCCCATTACATCTTCTACAGATCAACCAACATGAATCCTGCTCGACTACAATACTCAATTTGCCTATACACATGATATATAGTGAAATATATTCCAATTTATAATGCCAGACAACACAACTATTTAGATACTGAGAATTTTCTCCAGTAAGTCAGTGGAAAAGACAATTCTTTGACTCTGTAAAGAACAAATCACTTATAACATCTTTTAACAAGCAAATAAGTCATACACTAATATACATGTAAAACTTGTATGGCTGGAGCTGTTGCCCACACATGTTTTAGAGAGTGAGTAATTGAGATAAGCCAGTTCCGAGAAGTCCCACCTCTCCCTAGTTCATTTACTGGTTGAAAAATGATTAAATCTAACCAAATCTGACATGAAAGCAACAGTGAATTGCTCAACAAAAATTTGCAGAAATCATGCAGTTTCCCCATATACCAGCAAATACAATACACAATAAAATAGGCCATAAAACTACAAGGCGAGATAACTTGACCTTTTCTTGGGGCTAACACACGGGTGTGGCTGATCCGCCCTATTGCCGTGACCTCACTGCTTGATTCGCCAGACGCAATGACCACCGTCAACTCAAACTACTCCAGTAGCGTTGGGTATAAGTTGTACCGCCAGCTGGAAAGGTAAAATGTATCTATATTTCAATAACAAATGTTATCATTGTTTTCTTTTGGGATTTCCTGTTGTTTCCGCGGACCAGAGGGACATATTGCTGTTCACCCCTACGTGATCTCCTTTCACCACCGAGTAGCGTATTGCGAATACTGAAAGCAACGTCGCCTCTACGAAATCATGATATCGCGTTTACGGCAACATTCCACTGTTTACCTGTTATACCCAGTCCAACTTCCTCCATATGAGACGAAGATAAAATCGTGCCCTACCCTTCCTTTTCCCATATCAGACGTTGTTACTTGTCATATCATATGGAAAAAAGCAGAACAATTATTCCCATCGTTCACATATAAAGACATAATCGGTACTGTGCGTAAGCACGTATAATTCACATATGAATACGCGTAAATTTAGAAAACGTAAAAAAAAAATCAAGCTAGGTACTTACTACAAAACACAATAGATCAAACACTGTAGGAAGGAAGGCTTTGCACGCCTTTTCACGAAATGAAAAATCTTGCCTGCACGCAATAATTCATTTGAAATGGACCGAACACCACCCCGAGATCACAGTACATAGTTAAAAAAGTCGTCGAAAGATACTGTATTTAGATGATATTATTTTGAGCTGAAAAGGATTTAAAATGAATAGTTCGTTCCATGAAAATAATATATTACCTTTATAATGAAGGAAAATTTTCGTGCACTTCAGGTACGTAACGCTCCAAAAATGAACTTTCCTCCGTCGGCAGTCTCCCCTGAAGTACGATCGGTTTCTGGTCTGGATTTCGTTACGAACAATGAGACTGTCAGATATGCTTTTACGGAAGTCTCCGCCCCTGCCATCATAGCTCCGCCCACGGGCTCATCTTTCCATCCTCATTGGCTGCAATAAAAATACAGGTGTTGTTTGCTAACTGCAGTTCTGTACTGTAAAACGCGTTTCCAATGGTAGTTAAAAGAGAAAAAGAGAAAGGGTGCTAGATAGGCTCTCTCGGTATGGGTACTTATTAACGATACATTTGTCTGGTTTTCGCAGTTTTTCTCTTTCACTGCTGTTTTAGATATTGTTGTTTTGAGTTCTCGATCACTTCCCAGCTCTTTATTTTCACATAACAAAACCATGTTTAAGTGGTTGCAAAGCAGAGTGGCCACACCTAGCAAACATCATGAAACTGTTCCCAGGAAAGAAGTGAGTCATGCAAAGTAGTCGGGAACTAGATAACTATGTGAAACAGAGCAAACGACGTCTTCTTAAGAATGATATATATGTCATAATGGCATATTACACTCAATGCTTCAACAATTCACTAAGGTGCAGCGGCATTTGTAGTTGTATTCATTATTGAGTTTGTTATTTATTGCTACCATTGAAGCTCTAAAATAGTCATCTGCTATCACCTCAACTTTGGGGGTCTAGGTATTAGCTAAGGGTCATTGCTTTGGACAGTCATTATGACCTTTATTCTTTGTTAAATGTCTTTGTTAAATTAATAAACTGACAATTGACATAGGGCAACTGGAAAATCACCCCCACCATAAACATTATCTGATTGTACATGTATCTCAGAATAGTTTAAAGAACACTGGCTCATCATTCTGGACTGATTCTAGATGAGAAGATTTATTTATTCATTCATTCATTCATTCATTCATTCATTCATACGTAAGGCAGCATAATGATTCAATGGCTAGCATTGTGCTTTACGTCTCTACAGGTGGGGATTTGAATCCTTTCCCTTGAATCCTTGTGAAGTTTGCATGTTAAGATGTGCTCGAATAAAATGTAATTTGCCTATGAAAAGCAGAAAGTTTAAAGTGATATGATATGATGTGAGTTGGTTCCTGAAGTAATTCAGCTTTATACCCTATACTTCCCAGGCCAGCCTTTCAGCTCACTGTGGTCCTGCAAACATTCATGAAAAATGAATGGAGGAAGTAATTCAAGGTTAGTACCTCTGCGTGCTGGAATCCGTCATAATTATTATGAATAAGTTTAGAAATTGTTATATATTGTAATATTGTCTTGTCTTTGTTTTTGTCTGCATATGTACAAGTGTGACATCAGCAAAAAGGTTAGCCTCACCTTAGTGAGATTTCTCTAGTCCATTCTACTGTTGATGCTGTGTAAATACTATGTAAATAAACAGTTTATCTTCCTGAGAAATTACATATAGTTCACACAAGGTTTCTAAGCTTAAACTCTGAGTCAGTATAAAGGCAGCAGTGCTGGCCATACTTTCTAATGCAATCTTTGTTGTTGTTTTTTTCTGTGATATGATAATCACAGTTCTGTTTAGACGACTGTTTTCTACTTCCAGCAGTACAGGACCCATTGTGCAGCAAGTAGAAGAGGGAATAGTGGAATGTCCAGTTTAATGGACACCATAGTAAAGTATTAGTTGGAATAAAAGGCTTAGCTGTAATCTCTTCATGTGGCATGAATGGAAAGTCTTTGAATCAGTTCAGATCTTGCTGTGTGTCCATAATGAATTACAGCATTGTGCTTTAATTGAATGAGCTAGATTGTTAGTGGTGCAACATTTCCTTACACACTGGCATTTTGCAAATGACATTCAGTAACGTCACAACGGTGATAGAAGTATTGGGTAAATGAGTTCAAAGCCAGAGTACATTGATACAGACAAGACAAAACATTTGCTACTTAATATTCACCTGAAAAAGTTAGGCAATAAAACAAAATTAAAAATGAGGTTCGTCTTGAAAATACTTTCTTATAAACCATAATAATGTCTCCTGTTTTCCAGAAATTTAGTGATATCTTGTTGGACGGCTAGAAGGTCACTGCTTCAGGTCCCAGACTGTGGGGCACCCCAGCCATTTCATGTATTCGTTAATTTCACCACCAGCTCACTTAATTAATATACTGTAATATGTTAGTGGTTGAGTCAACAAATACTTGGGTATATTGGATGGTCACTGCAAATACTGGGGTGACATTCTGAGAAGTTTTAAAATGACAGTTTTACACCGACATAATTTCAAAATGATTTTCTTTGCTTGATTAAGATTTTTGCACAGTACAGTACACTGTATATATGTATGTATATTGGTATAAAATATATACGCTTCCAGTCAAAAGTTTCTTTAACAAGTCATGTGGAATTATGCAGTGAGGATTTAAGTTTGGTGATTGTGAGGCCCAGGTCAACTGCAGCACACTATCGCTCTCATTTCTTGACGAATAACTCTACCGCAGCCTTGAGGTGTGACTGTAGTCATTGTTCTGTGGAAAAACAAATGATTGCAATTAAGCAGAAGCCACATGGGATGGTGTGTCGCGGCAGTGTGCTGTGGTAGGCACGCTGGTTAAGTGCGCTTTCTATTCTAAATAAATTACCGACAGTGTCAACAACCAGGCACCCCGGGTCATTGCACCACCCTCCCCATGCTTCACCATAAGCATGACACTTGCAGAGATCATCCTGCCACCTACCCTGAGTCTTACAAAGACATGGTGTTTAGAACCAAAAATCTCACATTTGGAACCATCTGACCAAAGGACAGATTTGCACTAGTCTGATGTAATTGACTGTGTTTCTTGGCCCCAAAAGTCTCTTCTTCTTATTTTTATCCTAAAGCAGTGGTGTCTTGGCAGCTGTCCATGACGGCCTGATTCTCGGAAGTCTTCTCTGCACATTTAGCACTGAGATTTCATGGCTGAAATACATTAATGAAGAATCTGCACAAATGACCTTGTAACAAGGTATACAGAATAATGTGTTGTACAACGATCATGGTTCCACATTTTCACTCTCTAACACTCTCCAACTTACGGTAAAGATCTTAATGAAAACTATTTCGGGGTGTGCATTTAAAAAATGCATTTAAATACATATTTTCCCTAATTTCATCTTTTTGGTTTGAAGCAAAATTAAAACTTGACTATATCTATTTACATTAGGAAAAACATTCAAGCATTTAGTATTATTATTAATATTTATTACTTCTATTACTACTACTACTACTAATAATAATAATAATTATTATTATTATTACTATACCTATTATTATTATTATTATTATTATTATTATTATTATTATTATTATGACAACGCTTTATTGATCCCTGTGGGGAAATTCTCTACACCATCTTTCTCTCCATGACATACAGACACACATGTAGGTGAGAACAAGTTTGGCAGTGAAGGGCAGCCACCTGCAGCAGCGCCCATGGAGCTGGGGGTTAAGGGCCTCGCTCAAGGGCCCACAGATGTGACTGTTCTGCAAAAGCCAGGCTTGAACAACCTTCAGATCACAGGCACAGAGGCTTTTAAATATCGCTATTATGGAAAACAGCCATTTTATCAGGTGTACACAAACATTCCAAAAGAAACCTTTTATTAATTTACTATTTTTATTGGTAATAGTCACAGTAGAATATTATGAAGGTGTATCAGTGGGTGGCACAGTTTCCTCACGCATCCATCGCTGGGGGCTTGAATTGTGCCTGTACTGGTGTGTGAGCAAAATTACCAAATTTAGCATCGATATGTCATCAGAATAAAAGATCTTTACTGGCCAAGTATATTAAATATACAAGGAACTATGTACTGATAATCTGGAGCAGTATGGGGTTTAATAAAGGGTGAAATAAATAGTGAACATAAGCAAACGGGGGTGATGCCAGGGAGAGTTATAGGATTCCAGCTGACTACAGTGCCAGTTGTTAGCAGGTCGATTACTGTTGGTGGGGGTCACTGCTGTGGCAAAGGAACTCCCCGTGTGACTTTGATGGCTTTGAGTCTCCAGCCAGAGGGTAGAGCCCGGTGCCCTGAGCGAAAGGGGTCAGCTCTAATCTTGATCCTGCGTTTCACGACATTCCAGTTGTAGACGTCTGGGAGCGTTGGCAGACTACACCCAGTAATCTTTGCTGCTGCCTTGATGATTCATTGGATTTCGATACGTTGCTGTGATGTGGATGAACAGAACCACACAGTGATGGAGGTGGTGAAGATTGCCTCAGTGGTAGCGGTGCAAACTGAATCAGCAGGGCCTGAAGCAGGCTGAGTTTCCGCAGCTGTGTAGAAAGAGCATCTGCCGGTGTGTTCCGTCTTCTCCTCCCATCAAAGGTCCCAGGAAATCGATGTTCTCAAGAACTTAACTGATTCCACCAGTGGAGACCACAGAGCCATTTAAGATAAGAGACACACAACATCATATGACTGATTTAATTAATTAAAGTGATGTGCCTTATACAAGGAAGATTTCCAGTATCATATTTGTATATGAAAAATAAACATGTTGACTACACTGACAAAAATTGGATGATTTTCTAATTATCCGCTTCCCTTTTTTAGTTAAGACTTTAGTTTGACAAAATAACTTAAAGGTATTATAGAATAACTATTATTTGATTGTGTATAGAATTCTACACAATAATGGTATAGGTGAAAGCAGTATGTAAAATGCTTCCAGATAATCATAGCTATCGGATGAACGCCAGCTATGCCCTGTTTAAGATATTGTCAAAAATCAACTCAACATCAAAGCAGCTAAAATATACTGCTTATACAGCTGGTTCACGATTATAACTTTTTTTCGATTGGCTCATTTATGTAGCACTCTGGGGAAAAAACATCCTTACAATCAAAGACTTTTGTACAGGTTTCTCTTCTCTTATAGTCTGACATGATCTCCCAAATGGTGTCATGCCTCCTAACCATTCCATGGTTTTTATTTGTGTATTATTTTAGTTTTAACTGTGAAGTTGGTGCTCAGATGACTGCACTCGATCTCCCTTTTCTGCACAGTAATGACAGACAGCACTCAGTCTCCATTTTCTGTCTACATTTTGAAACTTTCTATATTATAGGTAAATTTAAAAAATAATACATTAAAAAAAATACCAAAAAAATGGCAATTTAAAACCAATGAGTAGAGGCAGCCAGGCTACACACACTGGCGAGAGCCCCCCTTGCTGCTGACTCCTCCCCCCTCTGAGAGTACGTTCACGCAGGATCAGCCCCTTCACGACCTGCAAACGATACAGCTGCAACACCCGACAACACAGAATAAGCCAGCTATCGATATACTGCCATGGTGGTCCCATTACCTTCCGAGCTGAACGCCCATGACTGAGCAGCTCCATCCATCTCCTGGGCAGGATATTTTCCAACCGTCAATTTACCTTATCAGTCTGTTAATTGAAGGGTTAAGGTAAAGTCTGTGAAGAAGCAGGCCAAGGTTGAAAAATTGGTAATTGAAAGCGATCTCATATATTTTTAATAAATAATCCCACCCAGAAATTATGTCATCTGCTTATTGGTCTTGCTAAGCAAATTATATGCGGAGGTTGTAAGTAATATTCACCTCTTTTATCTGGTGTTAAGGTGTATTGTTTGTGTTCTTTATCATGTGCACTTTGTTGTCTGTCCAGGGCTGGGAGAAACTCCGTTACAATGTCCCTTTGTTCAGTACAGCTGAAACCTTCCCCCAGTGTTTTTTAATTAGGTCCAATATATCATATGGCCTTTATCCATCAATAATTGATTCAATGTAAAAAGTTTAAGGCTTTCAACTAAGCTATATAACTATGTAGTAAATATTATACAGAAAATATTTAAAAGATTAAATTAAATATAAAATATTAGAAAATCCTGTACTGTTGCGTGAGCAAAGATACCAAACTTAGCATCGATATGTCATCAGAATCAAAGATCTTTACTGGCCAAGTATATTAAACATACAAGGAATTTGTCTTGGTATGTGTGTCCCTGCTATAACATATAATAAGCCTGACAATTTAAAAGTATGTAAACAAGAAAATTTTGCAAATACTCTTTATGTTAGACTGTCTACTGATAATCTGGAGCGGTATGGGGTTTAATAAAGGGTGAAATAAATAGTGAACGTAAGCAAATGGGGGTGATGCCAGGGAGAGTTATAGGATTCCAGCTGACTACAGTGCCAGTTGTTAGCAGGTCGATTACTGTTGGTGGGAGTCACTGCTGTGGGAAAGGAACTCCCTGTGTGACTTTGATGGCTTTGAGTCTCCTGCCAGAGGGTAGAGAATAGAAAATCTAAGTAACAGAGATTTGGTCCAAACTCTGATTGTTTGTATTTCATTAGAGCTTCACTATGGTGGTGTTTCAGTAACGCCGTCATCAGTGCGTCACGCGTGGAACACATGATGAGCCTCTGATAAAATACAAACTATAACAGCTTGGACACAATCACCATTATTTTGATTATTTTACTGTGCCCATGAACTAATGGTATTTCTCATCCAAGCTGATGGAGCGTGTTGTTTGATGTTTTTTCCTAATATTGTATAGAAAATCAGAAAATAAGAAATTAATCTGTCCATTTCTTATTCTGTAATAATATTTTGTTTAATCAAACCATTGTTGGCTAATCTCTGCAGCAGAAATTCATCTGTCCATTTGTTATTATCTCTAATAAAGCTTTTGCTTTGTTTAATTAAAACATTTTTAACTAAATTCATTTTTGTTAGAGTGCTTCTGGGAGTCAGATTACATTGGGAATTATGGTATGATGGGAGACTAAATGTTCTTTATTGCATTTTAACAGGTAATACATTTGTTGCTGCTTTATTTTACATTGATCTCTATTTAGTAGATGCTTTATCCAAAGGTAATATACATTTGAGAAAGCAGGGTCAGTCAGTCTCTGCAGCGAATGGGACTACAGGCCATGTTCAGGGGCCCAATGGTGACATCACTTCACTGACCACAAGACTTGAGCCGGCAGTCATCCTGTTACATTTGAATCATTCAAACACACCATCCCGACTTCATCAATACAAATTTGAATATTCTCATCGAAAACAGATTAATAATCAAAAACCAATGGAGTTTTTGCTATGAAAAATATTGTTTTTAAATCGCCTTTAGTTAAAAAATGGAAAGTAGAAATATTAATATTGCTCATTCAACTGGTTCTGTTTGACTGATATACTATATAAATAAAGCTTAGAAACCAGTACTTCTCATAACTGCTTTCACATTGTGAGTAATCATTAATAATCACCTAAAAAAATGCAAATGGTGTTTCTGATGTGAAAACCAGCAGCTCCAATTCTCTGTAGACTAGACAAGTCTAGTCACATCGCCCTGACCCCTCCCTCCACCCCCTAGCTAAATGTTGTGCCGCTTCAGCAATAGCCTTATTTCCAGGCGTTACCTGGGAGTGACAGTAAAACTTGATGCGACATGAATGTGCATTTATTTTTCTTCATTCTCTGCAAGCAACTCTCACCAGAGAAATCTGTATTGGCAAGGCAAAAAGGTTATCTGTAAAGCTGCCAAAACAGAAAAGATTATCTAAAAAGAAGAAGAAACCAGACATATATCTAAAGGGCAAGAACAAAAGAAATGCTCAGCAATTAGTATTTGAATGTCAATATCTTGAAAAGCATTTCGATATACATTTATTTGCAAACTGAAAAACCAGCCAGGAAATTGAAAACCTCCAAAACCATTTAATGTTATAAAGGCCAAACGTGTAGATTTGGCCATGGGATAGTGTCTGTAAAACTACCCTCCGCACTGTGCAGGTTGAACATCGCTCTCCTTAGCTTTATGTCGACTTGGAACACATATGATATAGCAGGAAGACTCAGTGGGGGGCAAAATATACACCCCCTTGGTTCAAAACACAAGTGCAGCTTATGGTCCATTCATCTCTGGGCAAGTTCCATTTCCATATTCCTTGTTGGGGCTGGCCTACCCCTCCCGAATAAGCGGCACCATTAGATAGCTTCCAGCTGGTGACACCTCCCTTGTTGAGCCCGTCAGGTAGGGTGGCTGCAGCAATTAATAATATCTAGACAGCAAGCTCTCTACTGACAAGTGACAGTGGAGTTTGTACATTTGTATCTTGTACAGGGCCTGAGAGTGGGACTGGGAGTCATCTGTACATATACCTCCACACAGGCAGACGACATCAATGCCTTTACAGTTCCCAGTGGGCAAGCAGAATGCATCAGAGTTGTACAAGCATGGCCACTCTCTTTAGATCCGGACTGCATTCTTCTTGTCTGTTCAGGTTCCATGGAGAAAAAAAAAAATCATTATCGTGAGTCAGCTTTGTAAGGTTTGTCCTCCACCGGAATAGGAACTGCAGAACCGGTATTGCTAAACTGAGGAACAGTTGAAGCTGAAAACAGGCACATTGAATCTTACGGATCTGAGGCTGCAGAAATTAAATCTCTCCTACAGCTTGGCCCCTCCCCTCTCCCTCCATGGGCCCCGCCCTACGCCTTTTCTGGGTAGGCTCATCGCTATCTGAGTTTTGATTCTCCTTCCTTCCCAAGGGTGGTGTCCTGGTTTCAGGATCCAGGTGACATCTAAAAAGCAGGAGACATAATACAGAGCATTTATTTATGAAAATGTAACATATTATCTTTTTGTTTCAGCTACTCTTTTTTCCTTTAGTTCCTATTGTAACAAATGTTCCAAAGCACACTAGACATGTTTGGGTATAACAAACAACAACAGTACTCATCAGGCATGCCTCTAAATATTGAGAATTTAGAGAAAATTTTGAGGTTTATGATTTGTTCTCTGTCTCTATCTCCTTCAATATATGATCATATCTTTACTTCAGACATGCAATATAAATGGTAAGCAAGTCCGAAAACTCCCCCACCAAAATCAGTGATCAAATCAAATCACTGAAGTCAGCTAGAATAAAAAAACTACAGAAAAGTTTTGGGAACTCGAACCTGAACACTAAACTTTGCATTAAATCTTAATATAATTTCAACTATCGGCCTATTCATGACTTTGCAAGTTTATCCTTGACATTTCAAATCTTATTTATGAAAGCAACTTCAATTCCAATGTGTGTTCAATCTCAAAATACAATTGCTGATTTTTATCTTTTAGGTGAGCCTTATGCACTTTCGTAATACAGAAGAAGCAGGAAATAAAGAACAATTGGCTTTAGTCTTCACTACTGTAATAGTTCCCTCTAGTGAGCAAAAAAAGTACAACAAGTTCTGTCATTATTAAAGCTTTGGAGATTGAAGTGATTAGATTTAAATCATGTGCGTTTGTAAGTGTATCCAAGCAACATCTGAGCTTTTTGATTCTGTGGCCAGACACACAAATACTCAGAAAAAAACAGGTATTTGCTTCCCACATTACTTTGCATTTATTCTAAACTGAGTTGCATTTTTCAGAAGAAATTTACAAATGAGAGGAGGCCATTCGGCCCATTTTTGTTCATTTAGATTTCAGTGAGGTATGCTCTATCCGTGTTACCAACCATTCTTAGCAGAACATCCTAATGTAAGTAATAGGCAATCAAACAATATCCAAAACACTGTAACAACAGTGAGCTGATGTATAAGGGATGTATAAGGGTCATCGTTACCCAGCATCCTGTGATGTATGAGGGAAGGAGGGTCATTGTTACCCAGCATCCTGTGATGTATGAGGGAAGGGGGGTCATCATTACCCAGCATCCTGTGGTGTATGAGGGAAGGGGGGTCATCGTTACCCAGCATCCTGTGGTGTATGAGGGAAGGGGGGTCATCGTTACCCAGCATCCTGTGGTTTCTTCTGATATTTACGGGTATCTTTATAATGGAAACTCAGTCAATTCACATTCCAGATGAATCAAATGGAGTTTATAGTATTTTATGGGTATTTTGACTATTTATTTCTATACTCTTTTCACATTTCCTGTATACGGTGTGCTTCATTTTGTATTTTGAATACATCTGTCATACTTCTTATCATATTTTCATGTGTAAAGTCTTCATGTTAAAGCGCTGGAGTGCCAGAAACAATTTTTTTTGGAGTCCTGTTATTTTAAAATTTATGAACAATGTTTGAATTTGGAACTTTTGTACGCAACCCTCACTAGATACCCAGAGATATCACCTTGAACTTTATGGTTGAGGATGTTAATGTGAAATACACTTTCTGTAAAGGGGTGATATACACAGGACAGTGATACTGATCCTTTTCTTGGAGTTATACAGTTCTGTGCAGTAGTCTTAGGCAATCAAAGAAAATGATGACCTTCATGTTGGTGTAAAACTATGATATGATGTCAGTAAATGTGTGTCAGCTTAACCATAGCGAAACCTTTCCTGAACTGATCCCAGGGTTTGCAGCAATACACCCATGAATTTTTTTAATCGACCACTAGCACACCGCATATGGCTAATCAATACTTCATTGACTTTTGAGTAAAATAAATTAATTTAGTGATCTGGTTCTGAAATTTTAGTTTAGTTGATGAATATATGGAAAGGCTGGGGTGTCCTTCACCGGTCTGGGAACTGAAGCGCTGTTTATCTAACCGTCCAACAAGATATTAGCAACTTTTTGGAGAACAGAAGAAATTCTTCTTAGTTTTTTTTTTATTGTTGTTCTAATGTTAAATTGTGTTTTTTTTTGTACTGAGTAAATATATGCTCACTTCCCAAATACCTTTTCCTTTTGTCTTTCACTACCTTTTTGTGTTTTGCACAGTTTTGTATATCGTAATGGGATATACACCCACAAACAGACTTTGAAATGTACTCTGTGGGTCTGTCACCATTCAGAATAATTCGATTTTACAACTGAAATTTACATTTACATTTCTTTATTTATTTAGCATATACTTTTGTCCAAATTGATGTACCAATGAGGCAATTAGTACAACAAAGAGTCAATCAAACATATTTGCAGCAAGGCTGAACTTCCAATGAAGAATGTAATTGGTATCAGAGCAAGAACTGTACAGTGTCATTTATGCTGACAATGGTAAAATATGGATCTGTGCTCTGTAATGGAACTTTTTATTCTTCATTGTGCTTTTCCCCACAATGAGGGATAAAATGATTACTATGTCATTCATTTGGAAAGAAGTAGTAGATTTTAAGAACTTTACTCATTGGTGGTAATCTGAACTAAAGCAATTTAATTTTATTTGCAATAAATTGTCATTATTATATTTTAAATTAATTAATTATTAATACAAAGGTAATTTCCTAACTTCTTTCATAATGACAAATATTCATACTGATATAATAGCAAAGTTTCACAAGTTCACAAGGACTTTTCCATTGGCCAGCAAATATAATAATAATAATAATAATTCTATACATAGTTGATATTTTTAAGTTATATTTGTTTAATTTAACATCACATAAGTGTCATTCATGCAATATATTAACCTGTACAGTATATGCTTATTTATGCATTATGGCCCCCTGACCTTGGATTCCACCTCGTAAAGCTCTCAGGCAGTTCCTGGCTTATCTGAAGTCCTCTGTGACTGTGGCAGTAGGGACTGAACACATGCAGAAAGGCACATGGCTTTCAGCAGCCAAATGGGACAGGGAGAGATGAGATAGAGAGAGAGAGTACAGAAGTGGGGGAGGGAAGCTGGAAGGACAAGAGGGAGTAATGGGCACCAAAATGAGTCTTTGGTCAGTAGTGAAATGAAATGAATGCAGCGCACCTATCGTATAATTAAATCTGAGATGATATTTATGAACAGAAGCATGGCAAGAAAACTTTCAATACCTCCATTGTACTTGCTGACTGTTTTCAATGTTTTGTAACTTATTTTTAATATTGGATATATGTTTGGATAAATGTTTGTCCAGGAGAGTTTTGAACTGATGCTGATACTACAAGATCAATACATTTTAGATATATGAGGTTTTTAAGCCTTCTTGATCATTGAAATTAACTAATTACTTCTAAGGTACTGTGAGGTGTTTTTTTTATTATTCATTGCATTATTATAACATCTCAGTTTATCTTATTACTGAATGCTCACATTATAGGAGATATAGACATAACTAATTAATACATATTCACTGACATCACAGTAAATACACAAATAGAAACATTTGAGGTGAAAGTGCAGCATTACCCAGAATGCAGTTAGGGTTAGGGCCTTGCTACAGGTGCAATGATTACTCTTCTAGCTCTAGGAATTGAGCCCATTACCTTGCAGACATAGGCACAGCCTTACCTTACTGAACTACACTGCCATTCTGGTTAAAAATTGATGAAATGTAAATCTATCATAACCACCCTCATTAAAAGATAACTAAACAGATATTTTCCAATTATACAAATTACATGAAAACACACACACACACACACAAAGGCCTTGTCAGAATTATTGGCACTCCTCAACTGTAAGTACAGAAATTTACAATATCTTAAGAAATAAATGCAAATCAACCAATTTTGTATAAACATAATATTTTATAATCAGAATCCTCTATATATGTGGCTGACCAGGATGTTTCCTGCAGCCCCATTCTAGATAAGCAACTGGAAAATGGGTGGATGGTTATATATAATTTCTGTACTATACTTTACTCTTTCAGTATTACAGAGCAGTTGGAATAAAAAGTCAGGTTAAATAAGGCCTGGAAGGAGAACAACAACATATGTAATAAAAACTTGTCCAACAGCACAATCCATCGGTACAGTTTGCTGGATTTCCCATGGACTTTGACCAAGTTGACTCCCTTGGGTGATATGTAAGCTTACCTCTCCATGTTCAGAATAACGAGTAAATTACAGGCTGCCTACCACTCCCTGCCCTGTCAGAGGGTTACAACAACCTTAAAGCAGAAATCCTGATACAGACAGGACTGCCCCCAGTTGCTGCCGTACAGCATTTCCACGACTGGTTGTTCCAACCTGACCAGTTGGTCAGGTTCCCAGCGAGCCAACTGGTACAGGCCTCCTTGAAGTGGCTTCCTCTGTAACCCTGCTCCACCCAACAAGTAGTCAAACAGATAGTCAAGGCTCTTTCCTATGGGCCCTGCCCAGGGTAGAAGGCCAAACTGACTGCCAAGCAGGCATCAGCATGCCGGTGGACTTGGCTACTGAGGGGCCAGAGCCAACCAGGCCATGATGAAAGGAGGGAGGGAAAATAGCATCTGTGGGACAAAAATGGCCTAGCAAGGAGCCTTAAGCGGATGGATAATCTCCAGGTCCAAGTGTCTCAGCACCTCCAATGGAGAATCATGGTGTCCCTCTGAGGTCAAACGCCCCCAACTCTGGGGTGACAGCAGCCCTCAAAATGTAGTTATCTGGCTGTAGTATTCACCAGGGAATTTGACCGAGCTCCTCACTAAGACGATACAAGTCTAGGGACGTCTGATACAGGCACAGTTACGCTGGGTCACCCGTCCACCCTCCTGGGCGTCACCTCCGATGGCACCCTGTCTGCAAGGCGTGTGTGGTTGGTTTCTGCCCCACCCGGGGAGGGGCCCTTAACGGTTGGCTTGGTAGCCAACATCCCGGTGGCCCTGCTCCTGGGTGGAGCCTTCCTTCTACATTGCTTAACTCTAGAGTCGGGAGGACCTATGATGTCACAAGTATCACTGCCATGTGCCAGCCACCCCAACTGATGCTGAGGCCATCCCCTTCTTGTTTGTTACAGATCAAAAGCATGATACTGATCAGCAGCTGAGTGTGGTCAAGGAGTCCCAAAGCCCACGGTCTAGTTCAGGGGTGGGGTACCTGATCCATGGAGAGCCGGTGTGGGTGCAGGTTTTTGGGATGACCTCTCAATCAGCCAATAATAAAGCAGTGACTGTCAAAAAGGAAATAGCTTTCAGCATATGCCCAGTGGTCAATAGCCTAAAGCCTATTTTAGTTTGGGAAAGAAGCATTGCCTTCTGCAGTGAATGAGGTCGTGAATATAGTCCAACTCAGCATCCTCTACTGTCGCCACTAAAGCATGATAAGATCATTTACGACAAGGAAATGAACGGAACTTAACATTATCATTATTGACCATAAAAAAAAACATTAACAAAAACATTGCATTTAAAATTTATTGTAGTACAATGATATACTTTTTACAAGCTGCTATCAGTTTATGTATCCTGTGTGAATTTTACTTTTTTTGATTCAGGTGAATAGTGCTTATGTTTTAAACATGTATTGGCCATTAAATTTGCAGTTAAACAGAAATATAGTCCAAAGACATGTATTTAGGCTCCCGTCTCTAAATTGTCTTTAATGTATGAGTGCATATGTCCTGCAAGGCACTACCTTGCTGCCTTTGCTGTTCCCCTGCTTGACATGTAGACACCAAACCACCCTGCAATCCTGATCAAAATAAGCCACTGGAAGACATAAGAAAATGGAAAAAAATATAGTTTTATGTATATATGTTTAATACAATTTGAATAAAAATATCCCAGCCAAATTGAGCTGCTGGAACCAGTTTACAGTTTTTACGTAAGTTGGCAAAATGATCATTGCTGACATCAGAAGTCCTGCAGCTGGGATGAATGTTATTTAGTGTTGTTCCTGTTTTTCAGAGCTTCGCCGTCCAAAATCCATCCAGCCTTGGTAGTCACGGTTGGAGAATGGGTGATCTCCGAAACAACCTCCCTTGTTCATATGTTCTGCCAGCAAGATGGAAAAATCACACACGAAAGTAAAATCCATTTACGATACACTTCACATCTTTATTGTGAACATTACTTGTATAGTATAATTCATTTAACATATATCTTACACTTATTTACAACATTATGCTTATAGATGCATTAGAAATGCATTTCTTTTCAAATAAATGATCAGCTTGTTTTCAACACTGACAAGCAATCTGTAACAATTAATATTTTAATGCAATCCTATTGTACTTTACCTATAATTGTTTGTAGGATTTGTTTAGACATAAAATCCCGCTGATCTTCCATCATGGAACCCAAACGATCATATCCTTCCACTGCAGTTTGCAACATTTTCCCTTGTCGTGTTACTCGATCGACAGCCTTTAGAATGGCGTCCTCTGCAGTCAATGTCTTTTCCAGCTGCATGGCTGGCCCTTGGACTTCAGGGTGCTCAGACCCCAGCGGAGCCATAGTGAAACATGTCGCAAGTATGGCAGCTGCCACTGCACACACATACACTCCTTTGCCTGTCATGTCTGTAGGAAACCCTAATATTACATTGCATATTTAATCTCTCAACTGAACATTCCAACTAACTGTTTCATTATGATAAAGCAAAAAAAGATTTACCAAGCATACCTTGTTTGAAGCATATCAGTGACTTTAAAATTATATTACAATTAAAAGTGTTACATACTGTATGTATCAAACAGTGTGCATGTAAGCCATACCTGAGAAGTGAAGGAGATGATCCTGAACTCCCTTGTTTCTGGTCGTGTCTTATATACACGGATTCGTTTAGGTACGCTATATATACTGAAGCAGGAAGATAAGAAGCACATTGATTAGAAACTACTTTTTAATTTGACTGGAAAATACCAAAATGGATATCCTTGCATGAAGAATTGTTATGTGAATATTCAGAATCATAAATCCAACTGTGTTATCACAGCTGCGGCAAAGATGACATCTTAAGTAGGACATTTATTTGCATAAAGATTTTTTTCCAACAGAGCACACCTTCGCGATACAGCTTTGCGTCACTTTTGACTGAAAGGTAATCAACATAAACATATGTTATATGGATTACAATACCCATGTCTCAATTTGTTTGTCAATGGCAAATGATTGTAAAACTTTTTTCAATGTCCCTTTTCAAAATTAAAAACATGTAGATATGTAATCTGATTCCGAAAATCTTCCATGAAAAGATCAGTAGCTATGTGTGGTATTTAAAGAGGAAGAAAATATATGTATGTTCATTTAATACTCATAAACTGCATGATTCAAGGAATTATAATAATTTGACATAAGATATATCATATTCTTGTTTTTTCTAAAAGCATAAGCTATCAAGCAACATGTATCCTTTAACCACTTATCTGGTGTGATTGTGTTGATGTTTACTTGGATTCATTATACATCCAGGGTGCACCTTGGCTTACACCCTCAATTGTCCAAGACTCCCCTTCTCATGGTCTGGTACTGCATAAATGCTCCATGAATGGATAGGTTGCACTTTGCTTGGTTTCAACCGTCTCAAGTGAAATTATATTACTGCTGGTGATTCGTGGGTGGAGGGAAGACCATGTAGTGAGCTCAGCCTAAACTAGGAACTTGCAGTATGGTCAATAAGGAAAGCAGATGAGACATCCTGGGTCGTCTATGCTATACTGATTATTCTTTCAAATAAAGCAAAATTAAAGTAAGAGATTCTGCTTTTGGACCTTAAGAACCAAGATGCATGGATTTACTAGTTGTCTAGTATAGTTATCAGCATATGATCATGATACATTAAGAAAACATAATGTGCTAACATCGGTTTTCCTGATGACTACAGACATTTTTAGACAATGAAATTAAGTGTTTTAGTACAAATCAGGTCCAGCTCCAGCCTTAAATTGTTGGGTGGACCACAGAATTATCTAGGGCGGTGCTTCCCAATTCAGTCCTCAGGGAGCCCCAGCGGTCCATGTTTTTCTCCCAACCAGCTCACAGTGGTCTGTCTGGGGGTCGCCTAGGACCGGATTGGTTAGGTTAGAGCCCCATTCTGATTTATTCCCTGCCTTGTGCCCATAGCTTCCAGGTTAGGCTCTGCAGCCCCACAACCCTGCATAAGACAAGTGGGTACAGAAAATGAATGGATGGATAATGATTTGTCTGTATCATCTGTAATGCATCAACATTTCAAAACAACTGCAAAGTCTGAATATTAATCCAAGGGTACTGTAGTTTATTATTGTTTTGTGATTTTTAGAAGTTAAGGGATGTTGTAGTTCATTGGAGTTTTACTGAAAGTGTCGCTTTATGATTAAAATTATTATATTGTAAAATTTTAAAGAAATTTTTGGCCTGGGCTATCTATCTACATTGGCTCTAGTTAGTTTTCAGGCATCTATATGGCCACCTTGCAGAGCCTGATTAGGCTATGGAGACCCCACTACATTGATTCCCAAGCTAAATGTGGCCATTAACAGATACTATGCTGCTCAGCCTAACAGATCCGCAACAGGTTGAGTCTGTTTTAATTAGGCAGTTACGTAAGTTTGGTCATTTAATGAGACTCTATGCACAATATGTGCTTGCTTGAACATCACACATATTGATATTCAGAGCAGATGGTTTCCCAATGCAATTGAGGGGTGCCATAAAACAATAGTCACAAAATGTCACAGAACCACAAAATACATCAATAAGAAACACTACTTTCAGATGCACAGGAGCATAAATGCTTACATAAAGCCACCTGCTACTCCATTAGCATGCAAATGCCATGGACAGAATATTGACTTTCAGCCTTATGACGCTAGTCTCATTCTACTTCTCAAAATACAAAGAGCTGTCCTTAGCAACTAAGACAATGTTTGGCACATTCAGTGGGAAGTGGTCACCGAACTACATACAGAGTACAGTGGTGCCCGTGGTTCACGAACGCTGTGATCTACGAACAATTTAGTTCACGACCAAAAATTTTGTGAAAAAAATGCATTGGTTCGTGTACAAAATTTGGCTGACGAACAGATTCCTCGACCAGATCCCTTTTTTATTACAGCCACAAGCAGAGAAGATCATTGCGGAAGAACAGGCAGGTTTCAGATCAGGGCGCAGCACAACAGAACAGATCTTTAATCTCAGAATTCTGTGTGAGAAGTATCTACAACACCAACAAGACCTCAATCATGTCATTGTGGATTTTAAAAAGGCGTTCGACAATGTGGCATGCAGCCCTTTCGTCAACCATGAAACTGTACAACATCAACGCCAGCCTGACCAAAGTCATTGAAAACCTTTACAACAAGGCATCCAGTGCAGTGTTCTTCAATGGCAACATAGGCGAATGGTTCCGAACCACTATCGGAGTCAGACAGGGATGCTTGCTCTCACCCACACTCGTCAACATCTTCCTCGAGAGAATCATGACAGACGCACTGGAAAAACACCAAGGGACAGTCAGCATTGGAGGTAGGAACATCACCAACCTGAGGTTTGCAGACGATATTGATGGCCTAGCAGGTACAGAAGAAGAACTAGCAGCGGTAGTGGAACACCTTGACAAAACCTCAGCTGCATACGGAATGGAAATAAATGCAGAGAAAACCAAGCTGATGACGATCAACCCCAAAAGCATCAGCTTAGACATCAGGATCGGTGGAGAGAAGTTGAAAACTGTCAACAGCTTCAAATACCTTGGAGCAATGGTCACCAATGAAGGATCTAAACCTGAAGTACTTGCCAGAATAGCAGAGACAACAGCAGCATTGGCAAAGCTGAAACCTATCTGGAAATATAGGAATATTACACACAGCTCAAAAATCAGATTGATGCAATCTCTGGTTATCTCAATCTTCCCGTATGCATGAGTCTTGGACTCCGACAGCGGAACTTGAAAGAAGAATACAATCTACAGAAATGAGGTGTTTCCGAAGACTCCTTGGCATTTACTACAAAGACCACATCACAAATGAAACAATGTGAGACAGAATCAGACAGTACATTGACCCTTATGAAGAACTCATTACCACAGTGAAGAAGCGAAAACTGCAGTGGTACGGGCACGTCTTCAGATCATCAGGCCTTGCCAAAACAATTCTCCAAGGAACTGTTCAGGGGGGGAAGAAGAAGAGGCAGACAGAGAAAGAGGTGGGAAGACAACATCAAAGAATGGACAGGAATGACGCTGAGCGATGCGCTGAGAAAGACTGAAGACAGAAGAAAGTGGAGGAAGCTGGTTGTCAAAGCATCAGGAGGTGCCCGCGCGGTCTCACAGACTACGGGATGGAAGAAGAAGAAGGATCGGCGGGGCGCATGTCCCAGCATGCCTCGCGCACAATTGTAAATAGAAGGACCGCAACAGGAACCCAATGAGCCCCGAAGCCAAATAAGTGTATAGACTAGTGATGTGGTTACCCGTTACTTTTGAGTAATCGTTACTACAGTCCTCGGCAGTTCAGTATTCGTTACTTAATAATCGTTACACAATACTCGTTACTACAATGAACTTAAGACGTACGTATGTCTTCTGTCGTTAGAACGGTGGTGGGCGACTAATTAACCCGGCCAGTCAGTGCAGTGACCCAGCCCCATCAGACTTGTATGTGGGCCATACAACATGCAGGCAATGAGTGCAGGCTTCAGATAATGGAAACCAGCTGCAACTGCATGGCAGCCAGAACTGCTGAAAACAACAGTCTGCATGTCGAGTGCCGATTGGGCAGCTTGATCAGTCATTTCATTACTGTCAGCAATGAATCCTCGAACGGCTAAATACTCGTAGCGATTCGTTACAGCCTGGTATTCATTACTTACTTACTAGTTACTACTCAAATCTACACCACTAACACAGACGGGAAACACAAGGTTGTAAGACGCCAAACTGCAAGATGCACACACGGTGGGAAATTTACACACTCTAAATACATGCGGGGATCAGACCGGGTACACACAAGACAGGGGTAAAGACACGCGTGACGACAGAGAAACGCAACCGTTAACATTAACAACACAAGGGTTAAGGACTGATAATTTCCCCAGCAAGCCAGTCTCCATGTCTCTCTCTGCTCCTACGATGCTTCGGTCCGCCCGTCACCATATTATATTGTGTTTTTCTTTAAAGTTTTTACTATAAAATCCAGAAAATTCATTAACAACAATTCTTTGGTAGGCTTGTGAACAAATTGATTGAATTTCTATGCTATCTTATGGGAAAAATTGCCTTGGTTCGCATACAAATTGGTTCACGACCACTTTCCTGTAAGGCATTGTGTTCGTGAACCGTAGGCACCACTGTATGTGCATTCTACATAACGTCTAAATACTCATATATATATAAAATACAAAATCAACATACACAGATCAAGAGCAGGAACCAAACCCTCAACCTCAATGCCACACAGCCACCATGCCATGTTCATCACTTATTTACAAAAATGAATACAACACTCAAATGTTAGTTACTCAATTTATTTAACCATTTTACAAAAAGTGAGGCATTAAATCTTGATTCAGAAGCAATATACAAATAAAGTAAAACAGAGGACATTCTCCTGCTTCAGTTGACCACAAGAGCCACAAACATTCAGCGGCCATCTTATTAGGTGCACCTGCCAAAGACCAGGTATTATCTCCCCCACCCCACAACCTCCCTTTGGCTCCAGAATAGTCTGTTTTTTCAGGGCATGGATTTAAGAAAGGGCTGGAAATATTTTGGTCCATGCAGACTTGTATCATCTTTCACTTCCTGCAGATGTTCCTGTCATACATCCATTCAGGATGATATCTGGGGATTATGAAGTGGAACTGAGGGTAGTGAACTCTCTGTCATGTTCAATGAACCACCCTGAGATGATACAAACTCTGTGACATGGCACATCATCCTTCTGGAACGTAAACATCTAAAAAGGGAAGACTGTGGCCATGAAAGAACACACGGTTTAGGGACGCTACCGTGTTCAAAATAACCCGTGAATGGTATTAAGGGGCCCAATGAATGCCAAGAAAACACACTCGCACACAAATTTCAATAAATACCACCTGAATTGTAAATTCTCATTCTAGAGAAGTCTGATTCGTAGGTGTGAAACTACATTGCTGTAGGGGCTGAACATGGCATGGTCTTCTGCTCATGTAGCCCATTCGTTTCGATATTTGATGAGTTGTGTATACAGAGATGCCTTTCTGCGCATGACTGTTGTACTGAGCTATTATTTTCGCAATTGTACACTTCCTGCTAGTGTCAATGATTCTGGCCAACCTATTTTGGCCTCTCACGTCAACAAGGTGTTTTCGCCCACAGAACTGCCGCTGACTGGGTGCTTTTTTGTCATTGCACCATTCTCTGTAAACTCTAGCCACAGTAGTATGTGAAAATCCCAGGAGGGTGGCCGTTTCTGAGATGCTGGAATCAACAATCAAGCCGCGCTCAAAGTCACTCAGATCACACTTCTTGCCCATTCTACAGCTTAGTCAAACTAAGAACTTCTAGATGCCCTCTGTGTGCTTTATAAGGAGTCTCATCCAAATAAGATGCTGTTTGGAGAAGCAGGCTGTTTGCATTTGCTAGCAGGTATACCTAATAAAGTGGCCGCTGAGTGTATACAGCTGTTCACCCTTTTCTCAAAGTGCAGGAAATTAGTCAAATGAGAAGTCACCATTCTAAAAAACTCTACAGGGGTTGCTATGCATTAAACAGAG